CCCCTGGAGAGCAGAAGAGTGGCTTCTGCTCTGGGAGCGCCTCTACGGGTGGGGGTGGGGGACACACGTGTGCGTGGCCACGTGTCCCCAGTGCTTGCCTTGCACTTTCTGCAAGTGGGCAATGTCCAAGGCAGCGGAGCTGGACCTGCTGGGTTGGCTGGTGGCTGTCAAGGTAGAAGTTGAGCCCAAGCCCTTCTGGGCACCTCAGCCGGAGTGAGGCTGATGGGTGTCCGCTCTGGGCTACAGCAGCCTGACAGCGGCGCCTGTGCGAGGGAGGGGTGTGGACAGGGCCTCCCAGCCTCGTGCTCAGCACCTTTCCCCTCCCTCTGTCTCCGCAGGCTCTGTGCCCCTGGACCCCAAGCTCACGAGGAGCCTGGAGGAGGGCGGAGACTTTATCCAGGAGTTCCCCCACAGCCCCGCCTTTCAGGCGCTCTCCGCCATAGCCCAGAAGGTTTTGGAGACACCTGCCCAGCTCTCCTGACCAAGGCCTCTCCTGGCGCCACTGTGGGGCTGCAGCTCACACTCAGCAGAGGTCCTGGGTGCGGTTCCTGGAACCTGCAGGGCTGGCCTGGAGGGCTGTCACTGTGTGGACCTCCCCCTGCCCGGGCCCTTGGGAGGCGTTTTGTGCTTCAGCAGCAGCTGGGCGCCAGAGCCACTGGCAGTGAGTGGTCTGCTGGCTGGGTCTGTTGCAGGCCCTGGGGATAGCGAGGGGTTTAGTGCCATGGCCTGAGCTCTGGCCTGCGCGTTCGCTCTTCGTGCCGTGGTGCTCACATGCCCCAGACGGACAGGCCCCTCCCGATCCCTCCACATGGTCCACAAAGCTGTGGTCTGGAAGTTGGCTGGGGACTTTGTCGTCCTCAAGTGCCTGGTTGCTGGTGGGGCTGTGAGTGATTGTGATTGAGGACGGGAGCACCCTGTAAGGTATTAACTTCAGAGCCCACAATTAAATGTGTCCTGCCACCATGGTTATACGTCTGACATTCTAGGTCATTCGCCTTTGTCCAACCTCGGTGTGTGACTGGTTGTGTGCCATAGCAGATAGCGTTCACCCTAAGACCCGGCTGGACCAGCAGGCTGGTTATCAACAGACCCCTGAGGATTGGGGTGAGGGTGTGTTTGCAGAGGAATTGGATATGTCAGAGAAATGTGTGCATGGGGGCCCGCAGCCGGCCTCCACACTGCAGGGACCGAGGGCAGAGCTAAGAGCAGAGGAGTGTGAGATGCAGTCAGTCCCAGGAAGGCAGGAGGCCAGTCCATTCTGCAAAGCAGAAGGGCGGGGGTGCCGCTCTTTCCAAGGGAAGAGAGGCTGTCAGAGGAGATGTAGCAGCTCTGAGGTGGGGGTGTCCAGCAGGGCAACCTTTGGTACCATTTCCATGGATGTTGGGGTACTGAGGAAGGGGGCTGTGCCAAGAGGAAGAGGTGGGGAGGGGGAAGGAAGCGCCATTAAGGGATTTGGCTGGGAGAGAGGATTGACACCTGCTCTGGCCCCGTTTGACACCAGCTGCTGGGCCTCCTGGAGCTGAGGCTGCCTCTGCTGTGCTTCGGCTCCCGGGCTGGGCCGCCTCCGGGAGAACGCGATCTAACAAGGACCCGAGTAAGTGCCCTTCCCTCCTCAGGTGGAGGTGGGCGTCCGGGGGCCGGGGTGGGAGAGCGTGAAGAGTCCCAGCTCGGAGGGGAGTGGAAGTGCAGAGGGATGAAGGCAGCCCCGGGGTGGGCTGAGCTGGCAGCAGGAGCGTTCCACAGGTGCCCCAACGGATGCTTTCCTCCCTCTGCCAAGTTTCATCCCTGTGGGCACAGGCATGTTTATTCGATTGCTTTTAATGGGTGACAGCTGTGCCCCCGATCCTCCTGATCTGGCCCTTAGGGGCCAGGCCAGCAAACCCCAGGACCGTGTGTTCCCTGAGAAGAATCCCCAACAAGTAAGCAGTGTGGGCCTGGCCTCCAGGAGCTGCCGGGTAGGGTGCCCACCAGGCTCTGGGGATGGCGAGGGCTTGTCCTGACTCCAGGGCAGTGTCTGGCCTGGATAAGCGTTGGATCAGCAATGACTAAAGTGGTCCTCACCAACGTCACGCAGGTCGAGCCCCGAGATGCTGGGGGGACTGGCGCAGGTGATGTTGTTGTAGGTATACACAGGTCTCTGGCAGTCTTCCCCCTCGGAAACGGCCTGGACAAAACGGGGCACGACAGTGGGATGCTGCAGGGCGAAGGCCCTCAGGGCCTGGAGGGGGCAGCCACAGTGCCAGGGGTTGCCCTCCAGCCACAGGCGCTCCAGGCCCGGAGGCTGGGGCACAAAGGTCTGCAACGAGTTGTTCCTGAGGCTGAGGTAGCGCAGCCGCACCAGCGGCGAAAGGGTGCTCGCAGGCAGGGCCTCCAGGTGGTTGTGCGAGATGTCCAGCCAGAAGGTGCAGTGCAGGGGCCCCAGGACTTCTGCTGACAGTGCCGACAGCCGGTTGCGGGACAGGAGCAAGTACTCCAGCTTGCCGAGACCCTGGAAGAGCTGACCGGGCAGCTGCGTCAGCTGGTTTGAGGTGAGGTCCAGCTCCAGGAGCTCAGGGAGCCCCCACAGGCTCTGTTCCTCAATGGCCGTGATGCCGTTGTCCTTGAGAAAGAGCCGACGCAGCCCGGAGAGGCCAGCGAAGGTGTGCTGGCGGATGCGGCCCAGGCAGCTGCCCTCCAGGTGCAGGCTGTGCAGCTTGGCCAGGCCCTGGAACACTCGCACTGGAAGGTTCCGCAGGCAGTTGCCAGAGAGGTTCATGACGGCCACGTTCGAGAGGCCGAGGAAGGCCCCCGCCTTGACCTCCTGGATCTGGTTGTCGTTGAGGGTGAGCACCTCCAGCTGGCCCAGACCCTCAAAGGCCTTGTCCGGCAGCTGCCTGAGGCGGTTGTGGCCCAGCCGCAGCTCCTCCAGGAAGTGCAAGTCCTTGAAGGTGCGGGGCCGCAGGCTGGTGATGGCGTTGTGCGAGAGGCGCAGGACGTGCAGGCCCAGCAGGCCCGGGAAGGTGTCTTCCAGGAGGCCGCCCACACGGTTGTGTGACAGGTCCAGCCAGCGCAGCGCTTTGAGGCCCAGGAACGCCCCCGGGGCCATGGCGCCAATGTGGTTGTGGTCTAGGTAGAGCTTCTGGAGCTTGGGCAGCTTGACAAAGACGTTGGCCTTGATGGCTCGCAGAGCGTTCCTGCTCAGGTCCAGCTCGCGGAGCTCGCTGAGGCCGTGGAAGAGGGGGGGCTGCAGGTAGGTCAGCTTGTTGCCTGCAAGGACCAGCTCACGCAGATTGACCAGGCCCTGGAACACGGGGTCGGGGAGCACAGCCAGGCTGTTCCAGCCAAGGTTGAGGTCCCAGAGGTTGGCCAGGCCATGGAAGAGGCCCTCATCCACCCTTCTGAGGAGATTGTTGTTGAGGCCAAGTGAGGTGAGACCCGGCGTGTGCAGGAAGGTGCGAGCCCCAAGGCCGCGCAACTGGTTTCGCTCCAGGTGCAGGTGGTACAGGTTCTGCAGGCCCAACAGCACTTTGGGCTCCAGGCTGGCCAGCCCACTGCCCTGCAGGTTGAGGAAGCCCAGGCTGGAGAAGTTGCGGAAGGCTGCCTCAGGGATGGAGGAGAAGTTATTGCCATCCAGCCACAGGGCCCTGGTGCTGTCGGGGATCCCGTCGGGCAGCTGGGTGAGGTTCCGGGAGCTGCAGAAGACGCTGAGCTCATCTGTGTAGTCATCGTGGCCGCAGGTGCAGATGGCTGGGCACTGCAGGCCCTCGGTGTCCCCTGGCACTCCAGGCTCCACTCCCTCCAGGCCACGGGGGCCCAGCGCTGCCCAGGAGACCAGCAGCACTGCCAGGGCCAGGCCTCCTGCAGGGAGAGGAACTTGGGGAGAGGCGGCACTAGGGGGCTCGGATGTGAACCCCAGAGTGAGAGACCTGGAGCCGTCTAGGCCTCAGCCCGCACGTGTGGGCCACCATTTAACTTAGCACCCATTCCACAGCACGCCACCGTGAGAGGCGGTTCTGCTGATGGGACTAGAGAGAGGTGTGAGCTGAGGTATGCAGTCGCCCCACTTAAATCGGAAGCAGAAGGCAGGGGTAGGGTGCCCACCAGGTGTTCTCCAGCTCAGAACAATCACAGGATTGACGGGCAATACCTCTTCCAGAGCAAACTAAGGGCTGGCCACCCAGTGATTAGACCATGTGTCCATCTGTGTCCCAAACAGGGACAGTCAACCGGGCCAAGCTGCCAGGTGGGCCTAGAGGAAGGCGTGAGCGGGAGAATGTTCTGGAGACAGTCTGAGTGGGTACGCGCTTGTTGCCTTTGGAGGCTGAACAGCGAATCAGATGCGTTTAGCCTGCACCCAGGTACTTGGCCCAGCACCATGGTGAGGAGAGAGACGCTGCTGGCCGCAGTGGCAGGCAGAGACCCTAGACCAGTGGTCGGCAAACTGCGGCTCGCGAGCCACATGCGGCTCTTTGGCCCCTTGAGTGTGGCTCTTACACAAAACACCGACTTCTGCGCGTGAGCCATGAAGTTTCAATCGCACTGTATGTGCGCGCCCACACGTGGTATTTTGTGGAAGAGCCGCACTCAAGGGGCCAAAGAGCCGCATGTGGCTGGCGAGCCGCAGTTTGCCGACCACTGCCCTAGACCATTGGCTCAAGACCGTCAACTCACTGGGGTCAGGTTTTGTTTCAGGACAAAGGGTGCCAAGCTCCCCAGCAGCTGTCCCAGAACCTCTGCTGGCACGGGGCTGCCCTGCAGAGCTGGGGTCTCGGTGAGGCACAGGCAGTGCAGCAGGATACCCCTCACCCAACTGGATGGGCCCAGGCCCTGCGATGGAACAAGACAGCAGTGGCTTGGCCTCCAAGTGGCTGGGAGGGCAGCAGGCCCTCGCCCAGCAGGGGTCTCCAGGGCAAGGGCCCTGGTTTGGGGTAAGAAGACACCCACCCTGCCTCCCTTGTGTTGCTGTTCTGGGCCCTTAGACAGGAGGAGGAAAAGGTGACCCTCTGGGGCCAGGCTCAGCTGCACCCTCCAATACCCCTGCGGCCCATTCCCCCCGTGGGCTCCCAAAAGTTCAGCCGAGCCAGAGCGGAGCCGTGTGGAGGGCTGCAGAGCCCCAGTGGGCTGGGGGGTCCGGGGAGCCTCACCTTTCCTCAAGGCCATCCCGCGTGCACAGCAGACAGCGGGTCTGCTGGGGCTGGCTGTCCTGCCTTCTGGATTTCCCCACCTCCAGCGCAGCCAGCCAGCGCCTGTCACAGGCCAGCTCATCCCTGCTGGCTCTGGGCTCCATTAACCCCCTCCTGTCGGGTGGCCAGGTGCCCTGGGAGTAGCTGGCACAGTGGTGAAACTGGGGGCCTGCGTGCATCCTGAAGCTACCCTCAGGGTCCAAGGTGGGCCATGGTGCAGCTCTGAGGGCCAACAGGGGCCTGTCCCATCCCTCCCCTGCTTCTAGCCCAGCCCTGCGGAGTGGGGCCCAGGCCGGAGGGGAGGGGAGGGGGGGAGCACGCCTAGGAGCAGCCTGTGAGGGTCTGGTGCTTGGTTAGGTTTGGGGAATCCAGGAAAGGAGCCTCCTATCTATGCTCGACTCCCCTGCCCTGGATGGGCCTCCTTGGGTAGCTCTCCGGGTCTCCCCACCTAGCTGATGGCCATGTGAGGGTTAAGCAGGAGCCACCATATTTCCCAATGGGCCTGCCCATCTGCCCTGGCACACTGACCACCCCCTTCCTAACTTGGGTGGGGTCGCCCAGCCCAGCCTTGGCTTCTCCTGTGACCTCAGGGTCAGCTGGTGTCTGGCCACTGCCCCTCCCCAGCCTCTCTGCTGGCAGTGCCTGGCAGAGCCAAGCCACCTGGTGTTTGCTTTTCGCAGGCAGGCGCCACTTTCCCTAGAAGAGAGTGGGGGGCAGGAGGGTGGCCTGGCCTAGGGCCAGCGTCTGCCTGCTGGGAGCCCCCATGCTGTCCTGCAGGCTCCTGTGGGGACACAGCCACTCCGTTCTGTAAATAGGCCGCTGGGATGTGTGCCCAGTGCCTGGCCTGAGGTCAGAACTTAGGTGATAGCTGGCAAAGCTGCAGGAGCCTAGGGGAGCCCCACCACGCCCTTACCCGCCTGTCAGTCTCTGCTCTTCCTGCTCAAACTAGGTACAGTCTAGCCCTCCAGCCATCCCTTCCTCTATGGGAGACCCTCCCTCCCTCCCTCCCAGTCCGCTGTGCCTGCTCTGCCTGGGGCGGTGGGCCTGTGTTTGGAAGGGTCTAGAGTAGGCACAGCTGGGTCTGGGGAGGGCAAGGCTTATTGGTTTAAGGGACTTTCAAATGGAACATTTCTATATCCAACTGGGTGGACAGTGGGGAGAGGAAGAGGGGGGCAGATGGGAGCTTTCTGAATCCTCCCGTCAGGTCTGGAAGCTCCTCACTGGGCCCAGGGACTGGAGCCCTCCCCTGCCTCCCAGCTGTGGGGTGGCGGTGAGGGGACAGCTTTATCTCCCTCCCTTTTATTGAGCTTGGATCTTTTTCCAGGTCATTTCTCAGCTTCTGAGAAATTATAGATCTGCCTGGGAGAAAGTCCGCACCCAGAAATTTACAGAGTAAACACAGTTACACAGCACAAAGTGCGGACTCAGCAGGAGTTCTGGGCCAGTGGGGCCTCTTCCCCGTGCTGGATCATGAGCCTGGAGCAGGGTGCGTGCACGTGGACAGGGAGAGTTGGTGGTCCTGCCACTGAACATTTGAAGGTTGGGACAGGAAATTCCTGTGGTCGAGCTTGCACGTATGGGAAAGCCTTATGCAGTGGTTCTCAACCTTCTGGCCCTTTAAATACAGTTCCTCATGTTGTGACCCAACCATAACATTATTCTCGTTGCTACTTCATAACTGTCATGTTGCTACTGTTATGAATCGTCATGTAAATATCTGATATGCAGGATGGTCTTAGGCGACCCCTGTGAAAGGGTCGTTCTACCGCCAAAGGGGTCGCGACCCACAGGTTGAGAATCTGCCTTACAGGATTTTGGCAGCTGGGGTTGGCTATTCTTTACATTTTTTTTTCTTTTCTTTTTAGAGAGAAAGGGAGAGAGAGAAAACAAACATCAATTGGCTGCCTCCTGCACGCCACCTGAGGACTGAGCCGTAACCCAGGCATGTGCCCTGACTGGGAATCGTACCCGCCACCTCTTAGGTGCACAGGACAAAGCCCAACCACCTCAGCCACGCTGGCCGGGGTGGGTTGGGAACTTTCAATCTGCGAGTTCTGCAGCAGCCCTTCCGGAGCAGCTGGGAGCCACTCCGCGTTGGGACACCCGGACGCCACATGCTGCTCTGTCTGCTCTGACCCCAGAGGGCACAGTGGCTTTCCTTGTCTGTGTCTCCGCCATCCCCATGAGATGGCAGCTCAGGCTCACTGGCCGGTGGGCTGTCCTCTCTGAAGTGCAGGTTTCAGGCTCTGGCCAGTTTTCTATTTGGTTGTCAAGTCCGAATTATAAGACAATTTTTAAAAAAATCACATTAAGATGCAAGCCATTGTCGGGGTGGGGAGCCCATGCTTTCTGCTCTGTAGTTTGCTTTTTTGTGCTCTTTATCATGATAGTGGCGAGAGTTAGTTTAATGTGGTCTCTCATAAGCTGTTCCCTAAATGTTATGAACTTGATTTCCCAAATACCAACAGTAAAGATGGAAAAAGTCCAAACAGGTTTTTTTTATTTAGTCCAATTTATCAAACTGGTTTCAGGTCCTATTTGTCACATGACTTTTATGATCTTCTAAAATACCTTGAAAACGTTACCTTTCACCGTGACATCTGCAGGCTACCTGCTCTCCAGTCCACTTCCTACGCATGTAGGCAGAGCTCACATTTAATTCTCTTCAGTGGGTCCCGGGGCTCACTACCATTTAGTTCGTGGCTGTCCTTGCTCCCTGCTCCTCAGGGTCCGCTCTCCTTGCCCCCTCAGCGTCCACCTGCACCCTGGAGGCTTTTCAGGGGGTCTCGGTAGCTGGGGAGCAGCCCTCCCGCCACTTCCTCCTCTGAGAGCACCTGGCTACTCCGTCCTTTGCATTTCCTCATCTGCTGCGGGAGCAGCTTGTCAAGTATCGAAAATGAAGCCAAAAGAGTTTTTTAAAAAAGATTTTGTTTTAGGCCTGGCCGCAGTGGCTCAGTGGTTGAGTGTTGACCTATGAACCAAGAGGCCGCGGTTTGATTCCCGGTCAAGGCACTTGCCCGGGCTGTGGGCTGGATGCTCAGTGTGGGGCATGCAGGAGGCAGCCAACCAGTGGTTCGCTTATCATTGATGTTTCTCTCTCCATCTCCCTCTCCCTTCCTCTCTGAAATCAATAAAAATATACCTATTTTTCAAAGCCAATAAAGATTTAAAAAAATAAATTTTTTACTGATTGTTAGAGAGGAAAGGAGAGGGAGAGAAACATCCATCAGCTGCCCCTGCACACCCCCTACAGCGGGGTGGCATCAAGCTCGCCTCCAGGGCATGTCATGCCCGGGGTCAAACCCGCAGCCTTTTGGTGCATCAAACCAACTGAGCCACACCAGCCAAGCCTCTTGAATTATGAATTGTGTTACAATTTGGGGAGAATTGACATCGCAATACTGAGTCTTTTGATTTGTGTACATGGTGTAATTCACCTTTTTATTTAGGTCTCCTTTGGTTTCTCCCTTTCTGTAGATTCTGTGTTGTGATTTTGCATATATTTTTTAGATTATTTTTACTAGATGGTTGTTACTAGATACTATGATAAATATCTTTTCTCCTTTAACTTTGTGGAGATTGAAATTGTTTTCTAAAAATAGGTTGGGAAAACAAAGTATTAACGGATGTGGTGCTTTTACTCAGTACTTTTTCTTTTTTAAAAAAAGATATATTGATTTTTTACAGAGAGGAAGGGAGAGGGATAAAGAGGTAGAAACATCAATGAGAGAGAAACATCGATCAGCTGCCTCCTGCACACCTCCTACTAGGGATGTGCCCATGACCAGAACCAAACCTGGGACCTTTCAATCCACAGGCCGACACTCTATCCTCTGAGCCAAACCGGTTAGGGCTACTCAGTACTTTCTTAAACATCTTTATTGATATGTGATTCACACATCATAAAATGCATCATTTTATGTATACTTAAGTATACAACTCAATGATTAATTTTTTTCAATGATTCTTAATAAATGTGTAGAGTTGAGAAATCATACTCATCTAGCTTTAGAACATTCCCATGCAGTATGTGGTCCTCTGCATCTTACCTTATTCACTTAGCGTAGTGTTTTCAGTTCATCCACATGAGAAAGTATTAATTTTCACTCCTTTTTATGGCTGGATGGTACTCCATTGTATGGATTTGTCCCATTTTGTGTATCCATTCATCAACTGATGGACATGTGGGTTGTTTCTATTGGGGTTATTACTATTAATGCTGCTATGAACATTTCTATATGACCCTTTGTGTGTGTGTATTTA